TCCAGCTTGTGTCTCTGTCTGCCTTTGCTTGCTCCCTCTGGTTCTCTCCATTGGAGACAGAAAGTTAGATTTTTAAAACGCAACAGAGGATATCAAATCCATGCTCAGACGCCCAAACAAGCCAAACTCTGGGGCCATATTCTTAATTTCCCGGGTACCTTCAAAGGTCCGGATGCGGCGTTTACGGGGCTAGGAATGTTTGATTTGTTTCCCGTGTTTCCCTCCTCCCCCACTTACTTCCTGGGTGATTCTTAGAGGTTGGGGTGGGGGGGGGGTGGCCAGAGAGCTAGAGGGCTGAGCTGGAATCCTTTGCCAAGGTGGTTTCCTCATTCTCGGCGAGGTGGCAGATGTCTCACCGGAGCCTGAGTTGGGATCTTGGAACAACCCTCCCCAGCCCAGGACGAGCCAGAGCTGTAAGGTAACTGCGGTTACTGCATATCAATCTCGTCACCACCGACTGAATCAAAATGTTCCGGAGGCCCAATTAATGTGAATGTCACGATAATGTTGAAACAATTCATTAAGGATTCTTGAATATTTTATTTTTAATGTACTGTATTCCAGGAATATTTTAGGAGGCTACTGTTGGTCTTATTTTCACAGATGCTTCAAAGCCTATTATTTCCCTTGCAAAAAAATCCATGAGGACCTATTCGGTTTCTTATGAGGATTTAACAATGCAAAGCTACATGTTAGTTTTTCTCTACCAGTGTTTGTGTGGTGGGGGGAGGGGGGGTTTGCTGCTACCAACTGCCGTTAGAAAAACCCACGCAGGGAGGTTGCATCCCCTTTTCTCTACCCCATTAAGTGCAGGTGTTTCTGTGATTATTAAATAGGTACTAATTATTGCTGTTGTCTTTGCTTAAAAGTAGCAGAGGAGAGAAATCTGGAATGTGTGTGTTTCTGGCTCCTGTTGACAACTGAGTGCTTTATCATCAATATTGTTTGGTTTGCTGCAATGTTAACAGGTGGTCTTAATTCACAGCACAATTCTGTTCTACACAAACATCCCTGCTGATATGGGAGGAAAGTATTTACCTTCTCCCCCCCCCCCAGAAAAACCCTTGTCTTTATCCTGTTTTGTGGGAGAAGGATGGGTGGGGAAGCTTGTCTGGCAGTTGATTGATTATCATAAATTACTCTTTCCTGAAATGTCATTTGGTCTAGTCTGTGATTCTAGAAAAGAACCCCCCCCCCCCGCGCCTTGGAAGAAAAATAAAACTTTACATGTTTCGTCAGATCACAGGAGTAACTTTTTAGAGTTGGATGGAAACTTCCATGATCCTCTCTTCCAAAACTCTTTATGGGGAACCCCCCCAAACTGAGAGGTTTCCCACCTCACTGATAACATGACTCCTCTCCTCTGCACATCTGTCTCAGCACTTACCATCCTGTGATTCTTGCTGTCCATACCAGTCTCGCTCAAGAGAGGAAGATTTCTTGGAAGGCAGGGGTAAGGTTTTGTTCATCTTTATATCCCTGGAGCCTACTAAAGTGGGGGTCTGTTAAAAGAATGAATGATTAAATGAATTCAGCAGTGCAGACTGGGTTTATCATTCCTTGAACACCTCCGGGCATACTTTTTCTTCATCCCTAGAAGAAATTCCTTCTAACTCAATAAATCTCAACGTGTGGATCCTCAGACCACACCGTGTTCTAAATAAATGAGTCTGACGTACACGGAAAACATATATTGTGATTTTTTTTTTTCTCTGCAAGTAACAGAAAAGCCAGCTAAAGGTGGCTTTAACAAATAGAGAAGCCTTGGGGCGCCTGGGTGACTCAGTTGGTTAAGCGACTGCCTTCGGCTCAGGTCATGATCCTGGAGTCCCGGGATCGAGTCCCGCATCGGGCTCCCTGCTCAGCGGGGAGTCTGCTTCTCCCTCTGACCCTCCTCCCTCTCATGCTCTCTGTCTCTCATTCTCTCTCTCTCTCAAATAAATAAGAAATTTTATTAAAAAAAAAAAAGAAATAGAGAAGCCTTGACAGGTGATCCCTGGAGTTGGTAGCCCAACGGTGTCAGGGCTCTGGGTCAGTGACTTCCGCTCATGCTTAGTCCATGTTCAAAGGAGGGGACACAGGCAGCGGAAAGGGGTAGAATAATTTCCCTCATGCAGCTTTCTCTTATCAGAGAAGAAATATCTTTCCTCAACAGACTTTTTCTTGTGTTTCATTGGCCAGAGCTGGGCTACATAGTGGTGCTTAGAGGCCGGGACACTGAGTTATCAGGCTTTTCAGCTTCTGTCGTGGGAAGGAGACTGGGGAGAGGGAGATTGGAGATGGGTTTGGGGAACTAACTGGCAAGCCTGCTAGTCTGTCATGGAAATGGTTCTATTTTAACCAGTGACAGTATTAATGATTGGTCCAAGTATAAAATTAAATATTAATGTAGCAAAAGCACATTCAGAACAGGGGTTCCCCCCCAAGATGTATGGTGTTTTAAGGGTGCTAAATCATCACTTTTGTGGAGTATGTTAACTTTTAGAGACTCCAGCTAAAAAAAATACACACACACACACACACACACAGCTCATATAGTTTCCATTAAGTATGGGTCAGATCCTTCAGTTCCTGGAACAGCATAAACATTCAGTAAATAGTTGTCTAGTGAGTAGACTATGGAGTTTGGGAGCCTCACAGCATCACAAGGACAAGTGGAAAGGGTTTAGCATGAAAAAACTAGTGGTTTGGCACCTTTGCCCTGAAATGCTGGTTTACACAACCTTAGAGTCTTTCATTTGAAGGCAAGGAGCCTGGAGAGCAACTCCACAGGAGGGATAAGAAGAACATAAGGAGAGGTAGTGGGTACTGACAACATAGGTCAACAGATTTTCTTTGGGGGCCTTCTCTATATGTGTACTGTGGAAGATTTACTACCAAAATGTTCAGGATTATCCTAGCACAAAAATTTTTAAGTTGATGCATGAAATGAAGAGAGCATGTATTACTGCCGACTTTGATTCCTGAGTCTCTTTCCCAGTAGGAGTCCTGAAAGATTTACAGAAGGACTAGGTTTGGAGACATAATGATGGGACATCAGCTAAGCGAGTATCAAGAGATTGAAACTTAACAGTTGAAGGACTCTGTGTCTTAGATTTCTCACCGGTCAAGAGAATGAAGCAGACCATCAGTAGTTCTCAAACTTTGTTGTACTTAAATCACCTGGAAAGCTTTTTAAAAATCCAGACTTATGGGCTGATCCTCATACTACTTAAATTAGAACCTCTGGGAATGGGACCCACGTATCAGGATTTTTAAAATTCCCTAGATGATTCCAATATGTACCTGAGTTTGGGAATTAGTTTGCTAGGGCTACCATAACAAAATACCCCAGACTGGGTGACTTCAATAACATTTTTTTCCCCCCACAGTTCTGGAGGCTAGAAGTCTAAGATCAAGGTATAGGCAGGGTTGGTGTCTTCTGAGGTCTCTCTCCTTGGCTCATACATGGCTGCCTTCCCGCTGTTTTCACGTGGTCTTTCCTCTGTGCTTGTCCGTGTCCTAATTTCCTCTTAAAAGGACACGAGTCATATTACATTAGGGCCCACTCATTTGACCTAATTTTGCCTTAATCACCTCTTTAAAGGCCCTGTCTCCAAATACAGTCACATTCTGAGGTACTAGGGGTGAGGACTTAACCGTATGAATTTGGGAGGGGACACAGTTCAGCCCACTGCAGGAACCACTGGACAGGTAGAGCACTTCTCGAACTTTAATGTGCATGCACGTCACCTGAAGACCTTTAGATAATTTGGATTCCAATTTAGTCTCGTTGGGGCCTGAGAGTCTGCAGTTCTAATGACCTCCAGGTGGGGTATCAGATGTGGCGTGCAGAGAGTACTTTAACATGGTTCTATCTAGATGAGTGGTTCTGAAGCTCTACCACGCATTCGAATTACCTGGAGCACTTGTGAAAAGCAGATTGCCCAGTGCTGGCCTCGGAAGTTCTGATTCCTTAGGTTTGGGGGTCGAACAAGTCCCCAGGTGATGCTGATGCTGCTGGCCTAGGAATGGTACTTTGTGAACCACATATCCCTGACATTTTGAGACTATATGGGATTGGGTGAGTCTGGTTCACTACATACATCGTTGTATGTGAAGTTTATCTGTGGTATTTGCTATCCTAATTGCTGATAGTGTTGTACCTTTGCTTTTGCCAAGCTTAATGATTTTTTCTGCTCACAGGACAAAGGATGAGGAAATGGGAGAAACTGCTACATTGAAGTCTCTCTTAATCTCTTACACAAATGGAGGTGAATGAATACGGAGACTATACATCAGCCCATTTGTCTCTATTTGTGTTTCTTCTCCAGTCCCAGAGCTGAATTATAGCTTGCCCTTGTACCAGCTCAAAGATGATTTTACACAGCTGGTTCCTTGTGATTTTTTTTTTCAAGGATTAACTATGGATGGATCAGTAGGGGCATTGGAAATTTCTCAGCACACATTAATATAGTTTTCTAATATAATCACATTGTTTTTCCACATGAGACCAACAGTGAGCTACCTTACACAATATCCCCCTCTCCAAAATGGAGAAAATAGTTTGCCTTCTCTTTGAGAGTTAAGTCAGTAAAATTCACATTCTGTGGATATTATTATTCACTTGTGGGAGTAAAACAAGAGACTGTAAATATGAGATTGGATGGCTTAGAAACATCCAGAACTTTAAGCTAGTGATCTGGGTATAATACTAAGAATGTCATTATATTTTAGAAAGCAGAAATCTGTCAAAAATAAAAATACAGTCTCCAACTTAATGGTTCAACCTAGGATTTTTTGACTTGATGGTGCAAAGGCCATACACATTCGGTAGAAACTGTGCCTCAGATTTTGAATTTTGATCTTTTCTCGGGCCAGTAGTATGCAGTATA